GTTGCTGTGAGCTAGGCTGATGCCACGGCACTCTAGCCCAGGCAACACAGTGAGACTCTGTCTCAAAAAAAAAAAAAAAAATGCAAAAAAGATTAGAATAGATGTTTCCCAAAGAAGATAGACAAATGGCCAGTAAGCACATGGAATGATGCTCAACCTCTCCGCTCATCAGGGAAATGCAAATCAAAATCACAAGGAGTTACCAGTTTACACTCACTAGGGTGCCTAAAATAAAAAAGTCAGATAATAACAAGTGTTGGTGAGGGTGTGGAGAAACTGGAACCTGCATGCATTGCCGGCGGGAATTTAAAATGGTGCGGCCACTATGGAAAGCAGTTTGGCAGTTCTTCAAAAAGTGGAACACAAGAGTTATCACGTGACCCACCGATTCCATTACTGGGTATATACCCAAAAGAAATGAAAATGTATGTTCAGACAAAAACTTGTACACAAATGTTCATAGCAACACTTTTCATAATAGCCAAAAGGTTGGAACAACCCAAATGTCCATCACCAGACGAATGGATAAACAAAAATGGGGTATATTCATACAATGGAATATTATTCAGCCACAAACAGGAATGAAATTAGGTGCTGCAATATGGATGAACCTTGAAAACATTATAGTGAATGAAAGAAGCCAGACACAAAAGGCCACGTAGTGTATCATTCTATTTACATGAAATGTCCTGGATAGGAAATCCAAGTCAGTCAGTGGCTGCCCTAAAGCTAGGGGCAGGGGTATGGAGTTTCTTTCTGGGGTGATGAAAATGTTCTAGAATTAGGTAGTGGTGATAGTTGCACAACTCTGTGAATATACTAAAACCACAGAATTTTATACTTTAAAGGGGTGAGTTTTATGCTAAATGAATTAGAAAAAAAGGAAAAAAATTTGCAATGATGCCCAGAACTTAATGTGAGAGAGTGGGCATCATGGGAAAAATGTAACAATATGGAAATAGAATAGCTCAGAACATTCCTAGAAGAGACTGGGCTGGCCACTGAGATCTGGAGTCTTGCCGCAAGGAAATGGAGGCCTAGTCAAACAGCCAATAATAGGGGTGGAGCCAAAATTAGTTCCCAGGTATGCCTGCCACAGATACCCTCCCCTTGTAGCTTGTAACCCTAGCTATGGTGGCTACCGAGTGCTTGGAATGTGGCTAGTCCGAATTAAAATGCGCTGTAAGTATACAACACAATGGATTTTGAAGACTTAGTATGATAAAAAAAAATGTAAAGTATCTTATTGATACTTTTTAAATTCATTATATATTGAAATCATACTGTTCTGGATCTATTGGGTTAAATATAAAATTAATTTCACCAGTTTCTTTTTACTTTCAAAAATGTGACTACCAAAATAATTTAAAATTACATATTTGACTCGCATTTATTTCTATTAGGTAGTGCTACTCTTAAGTATTGGGGCCCTGGGGCCAGTGCACATGAAATAAGATTAATTTATTCATGAAATGAGATTTCACTGAGCATCCTTCACCAGCGCTGGCCAAAAGCTGATCACAGGGTAGAAGTTGAGCTGGGAAGTGGGTGTCGCCGACGCCTTCAGTCCCAAAGCGGAGGAGATGGGGGCCGGGTGGGTCTTCCTTCCTCCTTGGGGGCAAGGTTGATGCCTTCGTCACTAGATCCAGAGATGATGTCTTATGCCTAATTTTTAAAAAACTGCAAACCATAGCGATTAAAAGCAACAGAAAAGGGTGGGCATCTTACGTATTTTTTTTATTTTTTTGAGACTGGGTCTCGCCTTGTCTCCTGGGCTATTTATTTTTTGATGAGCTTTACTACGTCCGCAGAACTCCACAAAAATAGTACCTTGCGAAGGTTATTCATCGAATCCAAAATCAGACCCAAGGATGGGCTGGAGGTGGGGTCGCAGGAGGGTCAAAAATTGCAACGTAAGCTCCAGGGGGTAGAAACTTTGCCAAGTTCATGCTTGTATCCTCAGAGCCTAGAACGGCACCTGACGCGTAGTAGGTGCTCCCCTGAAATATCTGAATGAGTGAATATGCAAAATTATGTGCACGCAGGGATGAATTTTCCGGGTGGGAGGAGGCCTCCAGCTTTTGTCCGTCTCAAAGGAGTCTTAGGCTCCCGAACGGTTAAAAACCACTTAATACCGACGGAGACATGAAATTTATTTGACATCAATGTCAAGCATTGGTTATTCTAATTCTGGGGCATGGCCAGACCTGGACATCTGGAATGATCTACGCGCTTAAAAACGCCACTCGCCACCATTTTCTCCAGGTAATTTTCCATCCCTGCCCCCACAGTCCGGGGAGGAAAAGTACTTCTTAAATCCTTCCCAGCTACGTTCAAAAGGAAAAGAAGCGGTCGGAGGAAAACGCTCCAGGGCGGGGAGCGAGGGGGCGGCGAGGCGGGCGCGCGGGCCCGGGACCCCAGCCCCCCAAACTTTGGCAAGTTGCGGGCGCCGAGCGCACCCGGAGGCGCGGGGCGCGGCCGCGGGCGGAGCCGCCCCCTGACGCCCGGCCGCCCCTCCCGGCCCGGGCCGCCCCGCGGCTCGGCTCAAAGTTTGCGGCCGCCCCTGCGCCGCCCGCCCGATGTATGGGTGATATACTGCGGCGGTGTCAGGGTGAGGGACGGCCATATTTGCCGGTGCGGCCCGAGCCGTCAACAACAAAAAGTGCGCGGGCGCTCGGCGGGAGCTCGG